TATTTTTCTAATAAAAATAAATATTACATGTGTTTTTATATAAAATAAAATTAGGTAAATTTTGAAATACTAGAGATGGAGATTTAATGAGTAAATCATTTAATACTAGTAAAACCACATGTTTTGATTTTAATTTTGAAAATTTTTTTAACTTTTATATTTTCATATTTTGAGGGTTACTTTAATATTTTTTTTAAGTTTATATTTATTTGAAGAAAATTTTAATTTAAACTATTGAAAAAAAAAGTAAATATGCAATATGAAGCGAGAGAATGTAAAGGAGGAGAGAGAAAATAAATGGAAGAAAAGCAAGTAGATGAGGATTCTTTAGTAATTTTGCAGTTTAAATTGACCACATCACCTACCCAATGTCGTATCAGCACCAAGTCATTTCTTGATAACGGAGTAACAAGGGTGTGGACGGAAAGATGACATTTGATGAGGTCATCGTCAGCAGAAGGGCTGATTTGCGGGTTTTGTCAAGTGGAGGGGCTGATTTGCTCTACTTTTAGGTAAAGGGGCTGATGTGCCACAACAATGGACGTAGAGGGGCTGAATTGCACCTTCTGCCAAAATTAAAAGGAAAGTGATCAAGTATCTTCTCTTTTCCTCCTTTTTTTGGTAGGATTAATAATTACAAGCAATGAACCCAACCACATTGTGGCCTAGTCAAGCGCAGTCGGTGGCCAAGAGTCAATTATTGCTAAAAAATGGGGCCAATCTCTTTCTCTCTCTTTTGTAGGATCAATAATTACAGGCAATGGGCCCAACCACGTTGTGGCCCGGTCACGCGGAGATGGGAGCCAGGAACCAATAATTACAGGATGAATGGTTTTATTTGCTTTTCATCTTATTAAAAAATGAAAAGTTGTTTTTTAAAATGAAAAATATATAATTTATTTTATAAAATTATTTAAATATTTTTAAATATTTTATAATATTTATTAAAAATATTTAAGTAATTTTATAAAATAAATTGTATATAGTACGTCTTAAAAGTTAAATTTTTCTTTTCAAAAATATTTTTTTATTTAAAAAATTGTCATAAGCCTTACACAATTTTATATTTTGCACATACACGCAAATACACTAATATATTATGTGGGAGTAAAGGACAAATAGAAACAAAAATAAAATTATAAAATAATATGAAAAACGTCAATTTAAAGAAGAAAAATGAGGAAAGATATATACATATATATATATATATAAAGTTATGCCTAAAATGCATAATAATAACATGAGTATATGA